TATTTATATTAACGAAATGATGGTACAGGTAAATCCCTAACCGATGTGAGACTAAACCAAAGAGAGACTAAACCCAAAGTACTCTTAACAGTATGAAAACATTTTTCTTGCCTTCACTTCATGGAGCCATTTCATGACATTTTCACCATCAATATTACAAAACATATCTTTTTCAGTATAAGACAACAAAGGATATAAAATATCAATCTTCCATTCAACCAACTTCTTAGCCATTAGTTTCTGAAAAATTATGAGTAACTATGTAAGGTATGTAGTTATCAAGTTGATTACTAAGCTCCATGTAATTTATTTCAGAAAAATACTTAGGATATAACTTGATTGATCGAATCAAAATTTCCTTACCAAAAAAAGAAAAGGAAGGACATGGTTCAAGATACGCCACACAAGAAAGCAGCTACATAGTCCATATTGTAACTATCAAAACAGTTGTTCCAATTCAACTATTGGGAATAAAATCCTATAGATATATTGAACAATTCAACTTGATGGAGAGAGGAGCCCAAAGGATTAAGTTTGAGAAAGTTGACGTATATATCTTATGCATTTTACTAGCTATGAAATTACGATTTAGCAAATTAACACTATATACTTTTTCTGTTATTCCAAGGGGCCAAGGCCCTCTTGGCCCTAATGTGGCTTCACCACTGCTTATGTGCCAGAGAAATGTGCACGATAACGGTTAATTGCTTGTTAGGCTAGGTTGTATATTGGGGACATTTTGATATAACATGCTGCACATACCCAGGTAAGGAAAATTTTAAAAATCCACTAGGATTCTCCACTGACACGGAAATTAATAATTCTTTGTTTTATGTGTATTTTTGTTAAGTGCAATAATGTATCACATCAGTATGTTAGGATTCATAGACATTTTTGGCAATTGATATTAAAACTAATCAGTGTTGTAAATAGCGACCAATAGCGGGGCTATAGCGACGCGAATAGCGGTCGCGGCCCTTCAGCGCTACGCGTAGGGGTTTCGTGGCTGGCTTAAGCGGGAAAATCCGCTATTCATTCGAATAGCGCGTAAAAGCGGATTTTAGCGGGTTTTCGCGGTTAAAAGCGGGTTTTCGCGGCTATTCATTCGAATAGCGCGTAAAAGCGGATTTTAGCGGGTTTTCGCGGTTAAAAGCGGGTTTTCGCGGTTAAAAGCGGATTTTCGCGGTTAAAAGCGGATTTTTATTGTTAAAAGCGGCTAAACCCGCTAAACCCGCTATCACACATATTATGATGCTATATTTCTTGAATTTCTTCATAGTTTCATTCATACAACAAGCTTATTAATTGTTATTTATTGATAATACAAGAAATTTACAACTAATTAAAATTTTAGATTTTTTTATGAATTTTCTTATTATTTAGGATATTTAAATATATTTAAATTTGACCGCTATTTGACTGTGCGCTATTTGTCGCGATTTCGCCGCAATAGCCCGATATAGCCTTAGCGGTACCTCGCCGCGACGCGCCGCGATCCGCTATCAGCAACCTTGAAACTAATGCATGGAAATCAATCCTATCTCATAAATATCTCAATCCTAATTGCTTAATGCATTTCACTTAATCACCATTCACATTGTTTTAAATATCCACGACATGGCTGATGTATCGGGCTGATATGTCCTTTTATAAGGTTTTTTACACAATGATGGTCTCAATATTCTTTATCGTTTTTTGGGAATTATGGGTGATATACTCTTGACATTGCCGATATATCAACTAATATGTTGGCTGATATGCCCTTTTATTTGGTTTGTCGTAGAACAATATATTGCTTTTGGCAATTTTAGGGTGATATATCATGATTTTTTTGATATAACAAGTGACATTTGAGCTTCAAAAAAATTGATTGAACTATTGCAATGCTGATTTGGACTTTTAATAGTTTTAAAAGATTGGTTATTGATCCTAAATATATATTATTTACAATTTTGTATGCTTAAATTTCATTAGGTATGTTTAAATAACATTTTGGGACAATATATTATATATGCACGTCATTCAATATGTCACTCCAATATTTACTATATATCCCCGATATCCGTAATTCTATATGGATTTTGGTTGTTTGATATTTCCCCGATATCCAATATTTAAAACTTGACCATTCATCATTTTTAAAATGAAACCTATATTAAACAAGATGAATCCTATTTAGAACTTTTATGATACTGGTCTTCTTTGTCTCAATTATTTTTATACCAATGTGGCTTGGAGGTTGTAGCTTTCTTCCATGCTTCTAGATGTCAGAAGGGGTGAGAAGACAGTAGGAGATGCAAATAGAGAAGAGATGGGAGTAAAGGGTATAAGAACTAAGGAAGAACATGGGATTTGGCATAAATCGAATAAACTTGTACGTTGGTGGGCTAGAGATTTGACTGATCGGAGCTGCTACTTCATGGCATCATTTCTGATCCATTAGACTAAGAAAAGAACAATTTTTCACTTCAGCCTCATTTCAATTTTTTTATTGAAATCGACCCCTTTTTTTATTTACCAAAACCGACCCGATTTCTTGATTAGCTTCTTAATCACCTTCCTAAACAGTCGGGGTTGTCAACCCCGACTATTTAGGATATTAATTTTTAGGGTTTAAGGCTTCTAAGTAGGGTTTAACACCCTCCTAAATAGTCGGGGTTGCAACCCCACTGTTTAGGAAGGTGATTAAGCTGCTAATCAAGAAATCGGGTCGGTTTTGATAAATAAAAAAAAGGGTCGATTTCAATAAAAATAAAATAAAATGGGGCTGAAGTGAAAAATTGTTCCTAAGAAAAGGGTCCAAGAATTCTTAGAAATCTGTTCATCCAAATTGTCTGTGCAAGTACCTGTCATGTATCCAGGTCCTGCTTTAAAGTGGATGTCTTTCTTGATTTTGTATTGTACTATGCCGATACAAATTGACCTATAAGTTCTAAGAACTTTATTTTACTGGGAAATTGGTATCTTATGCCTATCTATAGAGTATAGAGGCAAGATATAGGGGTCACATCAAATATGTTATTCGGACATAATATAAACTTTTTAGTTTATATAGGATTTACATCGTATATTTTTTGGACATAATATAAACTTTGGTTAGTTATATTTTTAGTTATTATAATAATCTGTAGCAGCCTTATGTTAGAAAAGGCAATATTATATGTAGGATTAGTTTTTTTATATGCTTGATCAAATCTTTTGAAGATCTGGTTGGAATCTTAGAGAATAAGTTTTGGTTTATTGTAATGACATATCTTGTGTAAATGAAATATAAAACTATAAAGAGGTGATATGTTTGCTGTTGTTTTGTGATGGTATGATTCATTTTATTTCTAGAATAGATCTGTGAAGACCAGAATTCCAACCACATAGAGATCAGGTTGTAATCTTGAATTCTAAAATTGTCAATAATTTATGCTGCTAAAAGACATTAAGTTTTAATTCAGGTTTGTAAAATTTGTCAGCAATACCTAATGCAAAGTGTATCATTGAAATTCTCTGCCTCAAGCTTTTCCTTTAACATTTTAGATGGCAAACTTATTTGAAAGGAATTATGCTGTGATGACCAAGAGATCACATCCTAAGTGAATCTTCTTTAGTTTGATTCCCACAATCTGCAATAGGGGCGTTCCCAGGAGATTTTTCTGTGATAATTTGCTGTTGTGTGGTGGAGTGGGACATCTATACTTGAAGGATTAGGCAGATGCTCAAATAGATCTGAACATCCTCATTAGCCAGAAATAGTTATTTATAATAGTAGAATCACTGATGTTAGGACTCCTATAACTTGCTTTAAACTCCTTGTTATTAGCAAAGCAATCTCAGCCACCTGATCCAAAATTGTTAAAATCACAATGAACTGCAAAGCTGAACAAGTATATGGCTTCATGACAAAAACTTGCATACTAAAAACAAATAATATATATCAGAAGTTATACGTGATAATTCTCACTTGAAAGTTACTTAATATTCAATTACATGAATAAAGAGACATGCGATGTATATGAATGGTTCAAGTTTTAACTTAAATTTCTGATGTATAGAAAATCTATTTTTGCTTGCATGCGTTTAACACCTCATATTCCCAATTGACATAGGTCAAACACTATACATTACGCACAAGAATGAGAACCATATTTATACTTGAGGTTAGGTTTACAATGACACTGTGTAACCAAATCAGCAACCTCATGATATAGGGAGTTCACCATGAAGCGTAACACTGCATATTTAATTTCTGTTCATACCGGCATATGATGTTAAGATACATAACACAAGCCAAATATTTTAATATGTAAAAGAAACACCTGTTTTATGTATCAGTATATTCATCTGTGTCTTAATGAAGTCTCCTTGGAACCACCTGCTCATGTGTATGACCTGTATAATCGATAAAAGAAAATGAATTATTGTGAAATGTCTGCAATCATCATTGTTGCATAAACTAGATAGATCAAGATGTAATTAATGTACATATTTAATTTGTATTCATAATGGCATATGAATATTAGATGCACACAAGACAAAATATTAAACTTGTAAAAGAACGCCTTGTATAAATGTACATTCATCCGAATGAAATTTCATGGTAACCACCTGCTCATGTGTATACCTCATGGATAATCATATGAGCAAATGAATTATTACGAAATGTATGCAACCATCATTCTTGCGTTATCTAGATAAAGTCAGAATATAATTAAGTTGATTATTTTACTGGCCTCCGTGCTGTTTCTTCATCCAAATACACCACTAGACATAAACCATGACCGTATCCTCAATTTATCACAAAACTCACATAAGTACTTGGCCTGATTTCACACACCTGTGAGAGAGAGAGAGAGAGAGAGAGAGAGAGAGATAGAGAGAGATTCTTATAAGGACGGTATGGGAATTTGAAACTAGCGCAAGCATTCTTCTTAGTAAAGCTGGGATGTGGCACTTTCATATTCTCTCTTCATTTCAAGCTGTCTTATACATTTTTTTAACGCGAAATCTAGGTATCTCAGAAATAATTGAAGCTTATGAAGCGGCGATACAAACTGCCTCAGATTCTGCTGATGGTCATCAGGAGAATAATATCAAGGGAAAAGCAACTATGATCTCCAATAATCTCCGTGCTGACCAATCCACTGCCCTTGGAAAGATCCAGGAAGCGCTCCAGTATCTGGCATATGTAGTTATTTCCACCTCTATGCCAACTGTATGAAATATGAAGAAAACTTTAATCGTGTACCCTCCATAAAATGTACATATTCATTTTCTTTTCTTCCTACGTCCTAGAATTCAAATGATTCTTTAGAGTTGTGAATTATGCATTGTGGACTAGTTGGAATATTGATATGGTATGGATTGCCAGGTATTCGAGACTATGATACGGGTAGCTGTTCGTAGAGATCCATAATTGTCCGTATTTAACTCATCTGCAACCCCAAGGCTTGATTTATGACAATCTAGTTTGCGACACTTTAGAAAGATGGGGTTTGGTACTAAGTCCATGTACAGAGGATGAAAAGATATTGCCTATACATTCTCTAATAACATGAGAATGACTATTTATGGAGTTGTGACCTCCAGTGCAACACATATTTGCTGATCGAATGCAAAATATCAATCTGACCTACCCAATTCCAAAATGCTCAACATACCTGCAAAATGCTTGGAGAAGAGAAACATACACATATCGTGTCTGTTGCGGTTAGATTCATCATGTTATTCAATGATTAATAAAATCATTCAACCCAATCAGGTTTTAGTATGCTCAAGGTGGCGAGAATCTGACTTCCTATCACAATATCTCGTTACTCACAACATCATTGACATCATCATCAGCCCATCTAAGTGCGGCCCATTGATTCTTGTCATATAAGTATGCAGACATGAAAAGCTACAGGCTCCTGTCTTCCAATACAACCATATACACTTCAGACTCAAAAGACAATGCCAAACAAAAACGAAAATACTAATTAGAATTGGCTCTCTCTCCCTCTCTCTCTCTCTATATATATATAGAGTCCAACAACACAGTTTCATAATCGCACTACAAATTAAACCGTGCCAATTTTCCGCTAAAAAGGACTTAATTAGTTAGGTTTAAAGAATTTCAGCTTGAGCCCACTATTCACCATGCTCCAAATGCCACCAGCAGAGAAAGCTAAGCTGAAAACAATCCCCAAAATCCCAAGGCCCCAGTTCAAATACCAGCTGAAGCTAAACCTTTGAGGCTTCTTTATAAGAACCCACATAAAGCAAGGATATGCAAATGTCACGGGGAGAGTGAGACCACCCAGAAGACCAGCAAGACTTGAGAGAAATGGCAATGCAACTCCAATGAAGAATGAGATGAATCCATAGAATACACGGAAACCAGAGCGAACCCAGATCGAACATGGGCGATTGGTTCGGCTTGTGTACCCGGCTTCAAAACTGTCAAATACTGGCATGGAGTATATTTGAAAACTGCTGAGGCAGTTGAATACAACTAAGAGGGAAGTTGTTGCGAGGAGACCCCTCGATATGTCTTGGCTGTGGAATATGTAGAGGGCATTCAGCATTCCTCCTGCTGGCATCTGCAAGAAAAATTGAAAATGTCAATAAGACTGGGCGGTCACAACCTTAAAAGAAAATAAAATAATGGGTATGAGGTGGCATCTCATTTTACTAAATGAGCTGCCGAGGGATAGGTCAGTGGTAGGAACAGGTCAGTGGTAGGAACGTGTTTTTCATAGCGGAGCAAGTCGACCTCACCACTTTTATTTCTTGGTAGCTCATTTTGCTAACGATGTTTCAGCTTATAAACAATATCCTAAAAAAATAGAAATTACTGGTTACGTGCAGTAAACTTACAAGGTTTCCATAGGCCCAGAAACCACCTATTGCGATTGGGAATAAGCACATTGCAATCAGAATATACGCCACCTTGACTCCTCTCCACATTGGTATATGAGCAGGATGCTTAAATGTTGATGGCATTGTTGCCTATATGTAGTATCAATTTTGAAGACCACTTCATTAGCACGTGAAAAATTTGACATAATATAAAAGCTCAAATGCTCAAAACTAAAAGTTTGGTAAAGATAGTAATATATGTCCTTGCAAACACAATCACACATAAATATGACCCAAAAAAAAAAAGAAATAAAAAACTTTATAAGCAATTAGACTATTTAAAGGTGGAAAGAAAACCAATGGAGAGTTCTATAAAATATAGTATAGGGAAGGAGAGGATGACATCTGACATATCATGAGACTTGATGCACATATCACTAATGTTTATTAATGCAGTAACTATCCTCAATCAGTGCAATTGTGACTGTCCTGACAGTGACTGCATTGATAGACATGTGATTGCTCTGATACGTCTAACGTCATCCTCTCCTTCCCTATACGGCTATACTATATATTCTATAGAGGGCCCTCTATAGGGTGTTTTTCCCATTTAAGAGACAACTACGCAATTAGACAATTTAGGTGACAAGAATGTATATACCTGAATCTCCAATACTAGATTGTGCCCTCTGAATGCAAATGCAATTATGCCAAATGCATTAAGTATTGAGAAAACCGATGCACTGGACGTGGGTGATTTCAGAGGCTGGTATGATATAGAAGGAGGCCTTGTTTGGCTAACAGATAGTACCCATATCATAGTTGCATAAGTTATTGCAGTTATGGCTCCCACTAGAGAGAGCCCGGCAATAGAATTCAGGTTTGGTAGTTGAGAGAGAACAATGCACAAAGAGGTAAATACTAGATACCACTCAACAGTAGTCAAAGGGTTTGATGAGCAGATAGGTCCACAGACTATCTCAAAGAAGAGCTTCATGGTTTCCCCTCCGATTAGTATCAGTGCTGTTGCAGTCCCAGCTGATAGATAAACAGTCGGGAAAAGAGCTAGCCAAACACCTAATCTTTCGCCTGAAAAAAGGGAAAAAGACATTGTAAATCTAATAAAGGTGGTGGTGAAAGTAGAATAAAAGATTTATACAGTCATCCACAAAGATACAGGCTTTGTTGTTGTTGCTGGTGTCATTGTTCTGACAGTGATGTATAAATATTTAATTACTTTGTGTGTATAAACAAGGCACTGCCACTTATAGCAAAGTATAAAGAGTGAGTGCTAACTATTGCTATACTTGGTTTTGTTATAATGTGTGAATAATAAAATCATTATTAGGTACAATATAGAATCGTAAAGATTTGCTCAATTGTTAGTTGAAGTTTACTTGCCCCATTTTTGTTGAACAATCACTTACAAGCATTCTATGTTTAATCCAATCCCCTCAACACATCTTTTTTTATTCTTTTGAATCAAATAAAGAATAAGCCAGTCACCAGTGATCTCACTCCCCCCAGTACATGCACAAGCATATTGCAGGAAGAAAGGAAAAAAAAATTTGTTGACTTTATCACCACATGTATATCTCATGTACTAGAAAATATGGTATTCACATTAATAATCTTTAGATGCAAAAGCATAATTGATTGTGTTATTCATGAAGACAACTGCTGACCCATTTTGTCCAAATTTGTTAATCATTCATCCGTTCCTTTGCTTCTGTTCAACTCAAGATGTACAATATCTATTTACTAGCTGTCCTAGGACAGATCAGATAAAATCCTAGACAGATTATGCTCTTCTGGGATGCCACCTAAAGCAGATCATATCTCTGTAGTGTTGCTAGAGTACCGCCATGAAGGAACAAAAAATTTCTCAAGACATTGAAACCACAACTTCACCCTGATGCCAACAACTTCCTATTCCCACTTTAAACATTTCATTTGCAGAAAAATCGTCATCCTGTAAATTTCTAGCATCTATAGTGCTTTACTCTCTGTTGTCGTTAACTAGTTTATGAGATTTCAAGAACTTGTTTAGGACTGTTATTCATGAAAGAATTTATTTCCCTAGTTTTATTTGATGTTTATCTATCTCATTTATTATCAACAATATCCTTTCCCGTAGCTTTTCGAGATTTCCTTAATCCTATTTTGAAGATATAAGCAATTTGAAACTAACCAACAAGACCCTAACTTCGCAGTGAAAACCTTATCTGACCTAGCTAAAATCAATGTGGACCTTTGAGTTTATGGCGATAGTCATAGGCACAATATTTTATTTTTTAGATACTGGTCCTTAAATCTTTCATTTATTTAAATGGGTTTTGCTAAACGTTGCCTGAATGCCTCATTTGGTAGGCAGGAATAGAGTGAAGTGAGAATAGAATGAAGCAAGGAATTGAATGAAATTAATGTGAGAATAGAATGTTCATTTGCATTCTCATGTTTGAGTACAACTTAAAGAATGAAGTGAGAATGGACATATTTTTTATTTTTTTATTCCTACATAACTGGGAATGCCCATTCCTTACCATCTTATTGGGAATGCTCCATTAAGGGAAATTGAGAACGAGCATTCTAACTCAAAAAAGAGGTTGTGTTTAGTAGGAAGGAGTGAGAAGTGAGAATTGTTATCCTATCCCCACTCATTCCCGTGTACCAATTAAGGCCTAAGTGCCAT